CCTGTATGAGGGAACATGGATGCTGGTATGACTTTTAATTCGCATAATTAATTTTGCTTTCCATATTGCTTTTTTAAATAATTATTCAGATAATAAAAATTGTTCCATTAAAAGGTAGGTTAGGTAATTCACTTCAGAAACACTTTTTGTTATATTCCATGGAATGCTCTTAACATCCCGATAGCAATGAATCAATTAAATGCTTTGACAATAAATATATACAAATATTTCATCTGTGGAAGCCGTAGCGCTGTAAAAAGAAAGTCCAATTATCTGCCTTGGGCCGCGGCAGATAATTGGATGGCCTACCTGCCTGTCAGCCTTCCATCTCGTGCACAAACTTATCTCGTGCCCTCATTCGTTCGTGTGTGTTGGAGGAGGGGCTCTGTAAGGAAGTCTGAAGGAAAAGGCAGATTCTTTTCGGTTGTGTACTTTCAAATTCTAGCGCACTCGAGCTGGTTTCTCCATTCTTACCCTACCTTTAAGTAAAAAATATTAAGAGCTTTAAATCTAATGTACTGGTTTTAATTGTCTACTAAAGTATATTAAATTGTTGTTATATTGTGGTCATATTTTCTGAAAAACTATACATTTATATCAATTTTTGGTTAACCTATAAATGAAATACAATAAACAACTCAAAGTTATTTATCACATTGATACAAAAATAATACAAATTAAAGTCCAATATTGCCATGAAGTCCCGCACTAGTGATTTGCAGTCCAACACACACAGGTGTTAAAATGAGAGCTCCCTTGGTGTTAACAATATAGTGGACGCATTAATATCGTCTCAAGGTATATCACGATTCTGCTCAGCACTGTTGGTAGAAATGAGAGTTGTTATTCTGCTCAGTAGATTTAGATCTGTAGCACTATTTTTTTTATATCTTGGTCAAATATAACATTATTCTGGCCCATGCCGTGGCTGTGACTCATCTTTATATCATACTGTAAGCATCTCAGAGTGGGTGAAGGAGCTTTCTGTATCTGCTGCAATCCTTCTGCAGTTAGAGTCTAAAATATCTAAGCTTGGTCTCCCTTCGTGAATTTAAATCGTTGGTGCAGAAACAAGGTGCTGATGCTTTGGGGTTTTTCACAATTGCAAAGTGTTAACTCTGGTTAATGATTTAATAACATCTCATTTATGATTAGTTCTGATTATGTGGCTTATTGAACGCATGCTATTTTGTAACTCATTTTTATTGCAGCCCCTATTAGCCAGGACTTTGGCTGACGGAACAAGAATCATGATACAGTTTGGCTTTTTTTGATTACTGCAAAAAATTGAAGGAAATAAATACTGTACCTTTTAAACCTTATTTAACCATGAAATGTCAACTTGCTGGTTATCATTTTTAATAACTATTCAAAACAACATCAATAGCTAATTATAAAAAGAACAACTCTTACACATGCAGTTGAAAACTAATAGCCCAATGACTAGATTTCTGCAATATGGTTTATTGTAATCCAATAATTTATAATGTTGAGATATCATATGTGTGTAGCTTTAAGCCCTATCAAACTATGTATTCTCCATTGTTGACGAGCCACTCATCCATCAAAGAGAAAGAGATTATCATATTGAACGGAGAACCGCAGAGCACATGTGAGAACCGTCTCCAGCAGCGACTCTTGACTCTGATGTGTCTACATGCTATTTTCATTATATTTCTGTTGGAATAAAGAGCATTAACTCGATCCGAGCTGCACTTTCATTTACATAACAAAGGAATAAGTATCCTTGATGAGAATCCCAATCAGTGTGAACATGCCAGCCAATGGAACAGAGGCTGGAGTCTCAGGGGCTTCTCATTGGCTGGTCACATGTGTGCACCGTATTTACATCTGTCTTAGTAAATGGAGCAAACAAGCATGGACCGGTGCAGAGCCTGAGTCGAGACGACCCCTTGGAGTCAGAAAGGACATTTCTCAAAGTTTCTTCTAGAGAAGCTGGCTATTTTCAGCAAGTGATTTGTCACTGTTACACTGGGTATAAATTGTCAATCAATTTTTGTCAACTTGGGTATGTCTCCAAACTCCTCATTTCTCCCTCCTCAAGGCGAGATGTTGATATCGGGCAGCTTCTGGTGTGACAGAAGTCCTGGTTGCTTGGCAACAGGTACGAGTTTAGAGTCCGGTGTGACTGTGACGACCAGAGTGAGAGGACAGCCTGACAACCCTGTATTGCACACACACACACACAGCTTCACCACAGTTGGATGTATGCGCCTCACAAGTTTCTTGCAGGAAAAGGGGATTAGAGGGAGCCATCAGTAAACTCCTGAGGGAAGTGCTGACATTAAACAGCACAAGCGTTTGAGAGATCGATGTGGGTACCTTGGAGCCTCCATACCTCTGGACAACCACGTGTCCTTGGTAACAGCCCCACACGACACATTCATCTTCAAAGGCGGCGTACCACAGAGCGAGGTGGAGAGCTGCGAGGAGTCCTTGGAACTTCACAGGGTTCCTAAAGACGAAGCCCCTCGCTGCTGCAGGGGTCCCGGCACCCGGCATGCCAGATTTGTTTAATAGACAAATAAACTCTGACTTTACCGCTTCATAACAACACAACAAAGGGTCCATCATCATTAAATGTTGGCGCAGCAACATTACATTGGTAATGTGATGTTCCCAATAAATCTGCTGTTTATGGGGCACAGCGTGGTCTTTAGCTCGTGAATAAACGCGATTCATACTCATCGTATCAAAGTAGGCCGCCGACTCCACAAGGTTCACCCTTTACGATGATTGCTACAAATTACATGTATATTATACAATCCGTGCATTTACATGCACCTCCATACAAAGGTTACTGAGGGAAACCAGGTCACACAGTAATCAGAGAATGTTCTGTAGTAACATGTTACTGCAGCAGGTCAGAAATCAGATCTCTTTTTCCTCCCAAGACATTGCCTCTTTTCCTAGTTGTGCCTCTGTGTGGAGCAGAAAGTGAAGTGAGAAGACAGGCAGAGAGGAACCTTCCCTCACAGCGTGAATATTTCTGAATCTTAAAAATTGTTAATGTTCAGACATTAAAACAGTCCTAGTTAGACTTCTAAAGGTTATCGTCTATTAAAGTTTGGAGGAATTTTAAACACAAGAATTTAAGCTGTCACCTTCAGTTAACTAATAAAGTGGATAGACAGAAACATAATTGCAAACTATTTTGATTTTGATCGATTAATCCAGCTGGAAACATGGCAGAAAGCGCTGTTTCTCAAACATGGAGATGTCCTGCTTTTCTCTGTTTTATATCGTATTAAACCTAATATTTCATTGATGAATCCAAGACATAATTAATCAAAAGAGAAAACAATTGACAGATCTCACTGTGCACGGTTGCATCACACCTTGTTGTCCTATACATATACATACAAATACATGGCATTTAAGTTGGAGGGTTTTAGGAGAAATCTACTTTGGGAACCAGGCTGCTGCAATACAAGAAATGTACGTGCCAACAGAAACGTTATATAATAGTTTTTTACTTTACTTGTATGACATGTGCCAAGCTTTTACGTGTGGGGAATAGACTTGAACTATTATTTAAAATGTTCACTAGATAAAATCTCTCTTTTTCCCCACAAGAATTGATATTGGCAACACTTCATTTTAACACCCCCCACATCCACAGAGAGTAACAGAGCGGAACAGTTATTGAAACAACACAAGTAGGAACATAGCATTATGAATTGGTCTTATTGTATCAGTGTTGACTCACAGAGTCTCCTCTTAATGATCCAAATCCACAAGTGCTCCCTTACAGTATGTGTTCACTTGCTATTCACCAAAACAGGAACTCAAATGAACTCTGTATACTCTTTTATTGCCATTATCTACAAGAGCCTTATTCCAAAATGACCCTAGCATCAAAGGCTGGGCCTAATACACAAGGTAAAACAAACAAACAAACAGGAACACAGCCACATTTGACTCTTCTGTTGTTGAAGAAAAAAGCGTCTGTACCTTGGGGAATTTAGGATTAAATCACTCACCATGCCTCAAAGTTAATCACGCAGCAGAGATTATAAACTTTACATGAATTGTTTAAGAAAAAAAGCTAGCATAAACAGCGATGCAATCCTCAGTATGGGACAATATTTGTGTTCATCTGCTAAATGAATCTGATATTCTGACCTATGAGAGTGTCAGATTGAATCAACATTTAAGTGTTAGTTCCCTCTGTGACATTTTACAATAACTTCCCACATTCAGTGAGCTGCTACATTTTTTTATTCTAAACCCTGAAGACCAGATGAAGAAAATGTTGGTACAATAAGCTCTTTATCTAAAAACAAAGATGCCAAGTGTGCATATGAATTGATACATCCCTGCTTACATTTCCCTTCAAACGTTCCTGCTTTAAACACCTTTCTATCTCTTTTTGTGTATGTGTGTGCACACGCTGATGGCTGTGTGTTTTTGATTTTGTGTAGTTCTCCTTTATGTCCATTATCTTTATTATGCATGTGTAATGTTTGGCAACAAATCAGAGTGTGCAACGGCTTGTGTGTCTGTGTGCGTGTCTGCTCCAAAAAATTGAAATATCCCTGTCATTTCAACGTTTCTCGTTCCCAATCAGTTGTCAGGCTGTGAATAGGAGGTTTGAATTTGCAGATTGCTGCTGAATCACAGCACATCAGTGTCATACATGTTTGTGACACTGATGACGGAGGCGGGGAATTGCAGCATAACAGAGAGAAAAATAAACAGGTCTCCAAGGTGATTGAGAAGATTTCTGAGACTGAAACCAATGTGCTTATTATGAGAATGGCAGGATAAATATGCTGGAGGATGAGCCAAGAGCCTGATGGAGCACAGTAATCACTGGCAAATTGCAAATCTTAGTTTCTGCACGCAAACACTTTACATAATATATCTATGGAGCTGCACATTTCCCAGCAAACAGCATCTGAACAGGTACAATCTCTAAATAAAGACATTAGCAGCTACATTTTTTGAGATAGGAAACAGATTTGTGTTGCATGTACCTGTGGCTGGGTCGATAGTCCGCTCGATCAAGTGGTCGTCCTGGTGCACCCACTCCCCGTTGCACTTGAAGTAGATCTGCGTGGCTGGGGTGGAGCGGCAGGTCAGAGTCACCGGCTTGTTCTTCACGATGAAATTGTCCTCTGGCTCCACCAGGAAGTGAGGTAGCAGGTCATTGAAGGCGGCGGGGAGTGTTGCTGTGGCGTGCTCGGAGCCTTTAGAGAAGAAAAAGGAAAAAAAAGTCAGTGATTTTCTAGAGATGCCAAATACAAAAACGCTTTTAGATGTTCAAGTTCAACCAAATATCTAATGCAGAGATTTAGTGTTCTTGGCGAATTCATACATATTCATATGAAAGAGGAAGAAGAAGACAGATGGACAGATGGAGAAAAGAGAGACAGAAATAAGTTGGCAGTGACAGAGCTTGGCCTTGTATGCTGTATGGAGTCCAGGTCTTAACTTCAGCTCTTAATCACAGCCCTTTAACATCAGCGCTGATGGAACGCTGGCCATAAATATCGTCTCAGCGACTGGGACACTTCACAGCATGTTATACGGCTCTTCAACCAGGAGTCTAACCGCATTAAGCAAGGCAGGGCAAGAGGCAGGGAGGGTAGAGATGAATGACAGCTGGATAGTTAGGGTTACGTTAGCTAAATAAATATATAAAATATAAGCTGTGCTATTCCTTGAGGCATACAGGACATGTGATAGATACAAATCCAGTAATGTAAAAACTATTCATATTCTTGACTTGAGTGAAAGTATTAGTATCGCACTGTAAAAATACTCAATTTCAAGTTAAACTATTAAATCAAGAATGGTACTTTAGTAAAAATATTTAAGTACAATCTTAGTTAAAAAAAATGAAGTCTGTTCTTAAAAAATGTAAAGCAGAAGAGCAAATCTTTGGGTTTAAGAAGCTGCAACCATTAAAGCTTTTTGAACAATAAGCGTCTCAGCTAAATACCTAGCAATTCATTTTCTGTTAACCCACTCATTGTTTTAGTTACTTAAATATAATGTTCAATGGTTGAGTCTATATCAAATAATACTTACCAAAGTATGGTGTGTGTCAAAATCAGAATTTCTAAAAGTAACTAGTAAATAAACCTGTAAAAATGTAACATTTGGTTTAAAAAAAAAATACAAAAAGAGTAGAAGTAAAAATAATACAAAATGAAAATACTTGGGTAAAGTACAGTAACCTCAAATATGTACTTGAGTACAGTACTTGAGTGAATGTACTTAGTTACTTCCCACCACTGTTGAGCGCTGATACATGACCTGCTCTTAAGAGGGACAATGCTGCAATTTACGGCAAACTCTTACGCTCCCTGAGAAATGTCCAAGACAAATGCTGAGTGACACAATGAAGCCTACAGCGCACATATCCCTCCTCCATGCACACAGTATCGCTCTCTAAACATATTAGCTTTGTGCGAGAGATAGCAAGAGGATGCGGACCGGAGGAGGAAGAGGGAAATAACCTCTTTACACCAACAACACTCAGGGGAGACCAGTAAATCCCAAAATAAAACCTCTTTAAAAAGGAGTGTAATATTAATTTACTGCCATTAATCCAATATGGCTGACAGACCAGGCATTAACAACCTGCTCCATCACTCCCTGTGCAGCAGGAGAGGATGGGAGTCCACATCTCTCATAATGAAACTGCAACACGAGTGCTGACTTTTCTCTCCTCTCTTCCTCTCCTCCCTCGCCCAGCCTTCGCTCATCCTTGCAGCTTGCAGATGCAAGCTAAGTCAGGGATACTATAACGTTGCATCATAAACACCCATTTTTGGACAAAGACATTATCTGTCAGGCCCTCCCCCATTGCACATTATATTAATATCTCTCTTTCTTCTCCTATTTTTCTTTTACCCCTGTGTGCTGAGTTGCTAATTTATCAGGATGAGATAGTGAAGCATGCCACTGCTGCTGCCGCTGAACCCCATTAATGTTTCGTGTACATGTTTAACTCTTAATGGAAACTAAATGTTCTGTGTCCAATGAACGACATACATCACTCGCTGACACTTTCCCCTTTTCCGAGCACATTTTCTCTTTTGAAACACATTTGCAGAGAAGAAAATGTTATTAATGTGGCAGCTCCCTTTTCAGAACAACACAACTGCCTGACAATATTTACTATGTATGCGAGTGTGTGTTTCTTGTCTCGTGGTGTTGAGGAAAAGGCCACAGTTCATCATGAATGGTGAGTATAATTGCTCTAACTGAGAGCCAAAACGTTGCTAATAAACAGTGTGGGACCAGTAGGTCAGGTTGTTTGAAAGTGTGTTGGTCTTAATGACGGCGGCTTCCAGCTTTGTGACCACGGCCATTAGCCGACCGGGGCTGACCCTCTGTATTCCCGGCAGACAGAAGAAGACAGCTCACTAAAACAATGGGTGAGACTCACCTCACAGGTTAATCATCACATAGAGGACGGATGATGTTGAAACAGAGTGAAGCGAGCGCCACCTGAGACTCTGACGAGAGGCGAGAGCGGCGAGATGAGCCCCTGATAATGTTAACTCACCGCTGGATGCTCATTTGCAAGGGTCACATTCAACATGACCTCTCAACTTCTGATGAGGTTTCCAATTTGTGTTTGTGTGTTTGTGTGTGTCACAAGGGGTGGGGGCTAGACTACCATTTTAGTACATGCACTTTAGGTTAATGAGGTTAAACACGTAATTTCTTTAGAGAAGTAAATTGTCCTTTTATGGGAGGGGATTCTAGTCACGCACCGCTTTATATCAAACCCATAATGGAAGGCTGATGCGTTGTAAATTGGCTTCGATTATTGTCACAACATAATGTACTTCAAAGTCAACGTGCGGGCACACGTGCACACAGGGAGTATCAGCCACTTAACAGACTTGTTGCAGGTCAATGCACAAATCAAATGGACATACAGCAGGACTATGGGCACTGCATTATAGTCAGCTGCTGTTATTTGTCAAATGCGTAGAGTCCATTGCCAGATGTTTTAGTACACACACAAACAAGATGAAAAACCTCTCCCTTGCTGATTCAGCCAGTGAAGATGATTTAATTGATGCACCATGCTGGATGTGTTGCTAGGGCCCAGTAAACATTGCATAAGTACCAAGCATTTTCATGAAAAGAAACCAGAAGAATGGTTTTATACATGTCTACATTTTTTTTTTAAAGACACGCATTAGGTTGTGACCTGACAATTGTCTGTCCCCACACACACACACACACACACACACACACACACACACACACACACACACACACACACACACACACACACACACACACACACACACACACACACACACACACACACACACACACACACACACACACACACACACACACACACACACACACCACACACACACACACACACACACACACACACACACACACACACACACACACACACACACACACACACCACACACACACACACACACACACACACACACACACACACACACACACACACACACACACACACACACACACACACACACACACACACACACACACACACACACACACACACACACACCACACACACACACACACACACACACACACACACACACACACACACACACACACACACACACACACACACACACACACACACACACACACGAGGAGCAGCAGCTGTCAGTGAGCTGAGCCATGATGTCCAGAGCAGATTTCCTTCTGCGCACAGACCCCATGTGTTTGGCTGACCACTCCTCAACTTCCAAGTCATGGGGACAAGCATGTCCACAGGACAAGAACATTAATGAAGTTGTGTTGCAGTGTAAGACTATCAAAATATGTGTGTGTTTAAAAAAATGGTTTTCCTGTTAGCTCAGTATGTGTGTATATATATATATATATATATATATATATATATATATATATAAATATATTATATATATATATATATATATGCCCCGACCAATGTAAAGGCATGAAGGGTCAGATTTCCACAAGTGTTGCAGCTTTGTAAACGTCTTGATACCATCCATCTTCAGTCACTCACTGTATCACTTTCCAGGAACATTTGTATGCACACAAATCTCAAGTCTCATGTTTGAAATTAAACTCTTCAGATATCCTCCCTCCTCTGCTCGTGTCAGCGGTCCCCACACTGTCTCCTTGTGTTATCTCCTTTTGTTTAAAACTTTTTATTTTAATATTGGACTCCTTATTATCCACTTGGAGAACAGAATTGCTGAGTGCACCGGAGAATGAGGATGTCGGCAGGGATAAAAACTATAGCAGGAGAGAAAATAACCTTCTTTTGTGTTTCTCCCTCATGGCACCAACACACCGGGTGCCCTTTGGAACCAATTACATTTTTTTTTTTTTTTTTTACAACATCATGTCCCGAAGGAAAGCATCATTGAGCAATCACTGGGCATCATTTACATCACAGTGATGAACAGCAGCCATAACAAGTGTTTTATGACACCATCAGCACCTTACATAGTCCTCTGAAATTAATTCAATTAAAATCACTATCCGGAATATTAAACCATTTCATGTTCAGCTGCCATTAACAACAAGCCAAGTTCAATTTGTACAACCACTCTGTTGGTGGATGCTCTTAAACCATTGAGTTCATGTATTGTAATCACTCCAAATGTAATGGACGTACATTAGTGTCATGGAAACAAAAGCGTTATTGTGTGGTTATTTTCAATAAGCCTCAGATAACATTAACGTTGACAATGATCAAACACAGCAGGAAAGACGCAGAAATGGGATTTTTTCAGAAAAAAAACCTCTATCCACCATCATATATAATGTGGAGCACTGCTGACTGATGTATGTTTGTCCACAGATGACAAATATTTACTCCTCCACATGTCTTGTATTGAGAGAATACATTTTTCAATGAGACAACCATTCTTCATTAAGACACACACACTCTTTCTCTGTCAAACATACAAAGTACACATTCATGGAGCTGAACACACACACAAGATGCTAAAAAAAACATGCTCACGTACACAAAATATAGATCGCAGGCATGCAAAAAAGGAAATTGCTGCTCACAAACAGCTTTGTCTTTCTCTGGATCAATGATAGATGCAGAATTATGAATGCAAAAAAAAATCCAGCAGGTTTAGAGAGAAACCCTCAAAAGCCAACCAATTCAGATACAGTACAATAGCCCTGGTTATTAAGGGTGGTCTGGGAAACCATCAATCACTGGCTGTAAAAACAC